CATCATCATCATCATCATCTCAATCATCATCATCATCTCAATCATCATCTCAATCATCATCTCAATCATCATCTCAATCATCATCTCAATCATCATCTCAATCATCTCAATCATCTCAATCATCTCAATCATCTCAATCATCTCAATCATCATCTCAATCATCTCAATCATGTCTTTCGCCCTCAATTTCCTTGCGTTGCCTTCATGTTTTGCACTGGTCACTTTACTTCACAACCCCACTACCCCCCGAACGATAACAAACTCTTCACTACCCTACCCATCTCAAAGGTACCAAATGAGAGGGTAGGGTAGGGGGTACTTCAGTGGAGGCGCATCGTCCATTTGGTATCAGCAGATTGATTTCATGGAGGTCTTTTAAAAATCGCATTGCACTGCGGTGGTTTTAATCGGATTCTTGCAATACACTCGCCGTCGGGGAATGTAGACCACACTGAAGACCATTATCCGGACAGCCTATATTATGACTCTGTTCGTAAAAACAATGATTCCTACGTACAATAAATCTATTACACTACTAAAATTAAAATATATTCCAATTGCAGTACAATGCTAATAATATCCAAATTTAAACATTGAAAAATATTATAACACACTGACAAAATTTCTATTAAGATTATGTTCAATAAATATTAATTACCCATTGCAATAAATATTATTTCAATTAAAATAATATCCAATAAATATTAATTGCCCTATCAATGTAAATTAATGCTGCAGTGTGGTGCATAAATTACACAATGTAAATCGGCGGTATAGCATGAGCAACGCGAATGCTATGATGAGCGCGCAGTGCGAATCTATTCCATTGCAACTTGTGCTACACTTGTTATTCCTATTACACTATAGTACCAACAATATTCAAATTAAAAACATAGCAAAATTATTATCATCCAATGACAAAATTTCAATCAGAATAATAAACAAGATATATTTTGCAATTGCCATATCAATCTTGATTTATGCTGCATTGCAGTGCATAAATTACACAATGTTAAAACGGCGGTATAGCATGAGCAAAGCGAATGCTATGATGAGCACGCAGTGCGAATCTATTCCATTGCAACTTGTGCTACACTTGTTATTCCTATTACACTCGCAAACCCTTGATTACACGTCTTCAGTCGTCCTGAACTGTATAATGGAGCGTATCATAACACATAAATAACAGAATAAACAGCGGTAACGCACGTAAGTGCGTGGGCCGAAGGCCTATCCCTGTTGAAACATACTGACCATATATATTTCTTGATGATTTTGTGATAATTTTTCTTTTAAGTTAAATCTGAAATTTTAGTAGTGTAATAGATTTATTTGTTCATTCTACATTCCCCGACGGCGAGTGTATTGCAAGAATCCGATTAAAACCACCGCAGTGCAATGCGATTTTTAAAAGACCTCCATGAAATCAATCTGCTGATACCATTTGGTTGAATTCATACCTTAAAACACAGGCATAAACCCTTCGTAAAAGCTATAAAAATAATATTTCTATCAGATTTTAACTGTGTTCTCGTAACATTTACAGATTACAATCACATTTTCATGGGTCGACAGAATTGCAACGGGATCTCAAGCTTATTCCCTCATAATCTAGATCTTTCGATCCCGTTGCAATTTTGTCCAGTTTAGCCCCTATTGTCAAAAGGAGCAAATAGAAGCAACATGAAGCTACTCGTATCCACATAAAACCCCAAGCTTTTACATATATTTTTTACATATCATTGGGCGACAACAATTTAATGGTTTAGCTCTATGATCATAGAGATACTATATGGATGTGATTATATATATGTAAATTTTAACTGTGTTATCGTGCTATTATCTGATAACTATCGTAATTTCGTGGGTCGACAAAATTGCAACGGGATCGCAAGCTTATTCCCTCATAATCTAGATCTTGTGATCCCGTTGCAATTCTGTCCAGTTTAGCCCCTATTGTCAAAAGGAGCTAAAAGAAGCAACATGGAGCTACTTGTAGCCACATAAAACCCCAAACTTTTACATATTTATCATATTAATCTTGGGCGACAACATAAAAAAGGTTTAAAATACATCTGCTGCGAATCTGATACCTTGTATTAAAGTATAAATTATATTTTTTATATTTTAACTGTGTTCTCGTGTTATTATCTGATAACTATCGTAATTTCGTGGGTCGACAGAATTGCAACGGGATCGCAAGCTTATTCCCTCATAATCTAGATCTTGTGATCCCGTTGCAATTTTGTCCAGTTTAGCCCCTATTGTTAAAAGGAGCAAATAGAAGCAACATGAAGCTACTCGTAGCCACATAAAACCCCAAACTTTTACATATTTATCATATTAATCTTGGGCGACAACATAAAAAAGGTTTAAAATACATCTGCTGCGAATCTGATACCTTGTATTAAAGTATAAATTATATTTGTATCAGATTTTAACTGTGTTATCGTGCTATTTCCTGATAACTATCATAATTTCATGGGTCGACAAAATTGCAACGGGATCGCAAGCTTATTCCCTCATAATCTAGATCTTGTGATCCCGTTGCAATTTTGTCCAGTTAAGCCCCAATTGTCAAAAGGAGCAAATAGAAGCAACATGAAGCTACTCGTAGCCACATAAAACCCCAAGCTTTTACTTGTTGTGTTATCATATTAATCTTGGGCGACAACAAAAAAAAGGTTTAAATAGTTAGCGAAATAATAAAAAAGAGAATGAGCAGGATTTGTTGTGTTTGTAATTACAGAGAAGTGACAATAAAATGTGTGCAGTGTAAAAGATATGTAATATGCACAGATTGTATCAATAATCTACAATCGCGAAAAGTGCATCATATGACAGGATATTTAGAGAAGGTAAAAATCTATAAGTATGAAGAATTGCATTATCCAACAATAACGTATGATTGTCCTTTATGTAGAAAAGAGAACGATATAAAAATGTTTGAATCAGAGTTTTCAAAAGAGGATGTAATACGTTTAACTTATAGAGACTATGCGAAATTATGTGAACATGAGAATGAAATAAAAAGATTAAGAGAAATATTAAGACTACAAGAAACGGAATCAGCGAAGAAAAAAACAGAGGAAGAAGAGATAATGAAACTAAAAAATAATTTGAGATATGAACAAAACAAGAGAAAGAGTGTAGAAGATTTGTACTATGATCTATTAGCTTGTTATAACAATGGATTGATCAAATATGACAAAGAATCTTGCAATCAAGAAAATATGAAACTAAAATTTGAAATGAGTGAATTGAAATCAGAGATAGAAGAATTGAAAAAACAAATTGCTCCACAAGTTGATGAATAGCATACCTTAGCAATATCAATGCAATACCTTTGCGGAATCAATGCAGAATCAATGCGAAACCTTTGCTGAATCAATGCGAAACCTTTGCAGAATCAATGCAAAACCTTTGCAATATCAATGCAAAATCAATGCAAAATCAATGCAAAATCAATGCAAAATCAATGCAAAACCTTTGCTGAATCAATGCAATACCTTTGCAGAATCAATGCAGAATCAATGCAATACCTTTGTGGAATCAATGGTGACTAATGCATGAAATATATAAGAATAAAAACAATAATATAATAAGAGAAGAATGTTTAATTCAATAGAAGAGAGGCGAGCATACAATAGGGAGAAATATAGAGAGTCAATGGAAAGGAAGAGAGAAGAAGGAACTTTAAAAGAGTTCTATAAGAAGAAGAATGATAGGAATATGGAGAGATATAAGAGGGATGAAGAATTTAGAGAGAAATTTAAAGAGACAGTGGAGCGTAATAACAATAGGAGATACAAGGAAGATGAGGAATATAGAGAAAGAATGAAAGCGAGAATGCGAGAATATTACAAACGAAAGAAAGAGGAACGGAACGCTTTAAGAATTTAATTATTTTATCAGCATTTACTTAGAAAATAATTGGGTGTTGGATAATGATAAAAGTATATAAACAAATTATGGATTATAATGATGAAGGATGAAGTATTTTAGCAAGACAACAGAAATATTAGATTTGAGAGATACAGAGAAGTTTAAATCATTAGAGCGTGTTACAAAAGAGAACATAGAAAAGAAAAAAGATGGCACATTGTTTGAGAGATGGTATAGCTATCTAGTGAGAAATGAGAATTCACTATACGAAAGTTTAAAAGAGAGTGAATTGAACAAGAGATCAATAATGATAATAGGGAGTGATAAAATATGTGGGGATAGAATAGTGAAAGAATTTTCATTTTTAGATTTGAAATATAAAGAAACGGAGAGAGCATTGAGTTACAACATAAATGGATATGAAATATTAAAAGAAGGGAAATTATGTAAGTTTCCGATAGACATAGATAAACCAGTGGATAATCTAGATGAAATAAGACAATACAAAGAAGAAATAAATAGAGGGGAGAATCCGTTTATAGAAGAGATATATGAACTGATAGAGGAGTTGATAAGAGTAATAAAAAGGGAGTTGGATGAAGATTTGAAAAGGAAGATTTTTCAATATGTACATCAAGTGGCGAAGAACATGATATGTTATCTTTTAAGATTTCGTACCATGTATTAGTGCCAATAATATTTGATTGGAAATTTAGGAATGAAATACTAGGAATATTGTTGCCAACATTAGAAGAGTTTAACATGAAAAATCACTACAAGAAGAAAACGAATAACAATGAAATGAAACAATGTGGTGTATGTGATCTGAGCATATATTCAGACAACCAACAATTTAGATTGGTTGGTCAATCAAAATTAAAGAGAATATCAGAGAGATATATATCATCAAAGAATGTGAAGAAGGCGATTCAGCCATTGAATGTACCGAAAACATATCACTATGTAGGTATATATGAAGATCAAT